GTCTTTATGTAGCAGCACTGATCACAGCAGTAACGCTCAGAGCCTGCGAGTGTTCGCTGTCTCCTTCTTAAGCTTCCTCTACAGGACATCACATCAGATAATCCGCCTCCACCTCCTCCATCACACCAGCCCTCTGCTTGTCCTCCTTCACTGCATCCATCAATCTTCTCTGAGCGCTTCTTCTTCTTCTTCTTCTCTTCGATGTAAAGAGGGACCAGCAAATCAAGAGCTCCACTTTTACTCTCAGCTCTCTCTTCACCACGATGTACTGGTACAGCGTCCACACACTGCAGCTGCAGCACCAATCCATGTGTCGACCTCATGTTTTCCAGATGTTGCAACATCTGTCTCTCTAACTTGCGACTCTTTCAGCTCCTGTACTGATCAATCACTGACATGCTGGGAAAAACAACTCTCATAATATCATATATAGAGCGACCGGACTCTGAACAAGCAGAAGATGATTCAAGGATGGATACAACAACCTTCCTTCATCCCACACGGGTCCAAACATGGAAGATCAGCTGTCCATGTCCGTGTAAATCTGCCTGATTTTGAAGTATGAATTTCAGGCACTACTTAAAATGCAAAGACGACATGAAACGGCTCAGAATAAACGTTTGAAAACTGATGATGTCAATGAATTATCTGCAGACTCAATGAGATGAATTCTGACCTCAGACCGGCGCCCGGCGCTCCTCATCTCCTCGCCATCTGATGCTGGGTGTTCATCCTGAACTGGCGTGCCGCCTCCATCATCTACAAGAACACATCCGGAACATTCATGTTTAATTCAGTCCTTTTTAAAAGCATTTATAGGAGCTGCAAAAAGTATGCAGTAACTTTACCAAGCTGCCAAAGTAAAACTGAATAAAAACTACACAACAGCTTTCTCTGCATTCCCTTCGATAAACTGCCTTTCAAAAAAGTAATTGTGCTTTTCAAGGATCAGGGCTTATTAGGACTGGAGAGGACATATGACAGCAGCAGTGAGATGTAGAAGATTACACTACAGTCACATCACATCCATCGTTCTGTACATTAACGATCAAACAGGCTACAGCTTAGGAAACGTTTCTAGTGTTAAAAAGTCTCAGTAATGATCACACGATGTCATCAGCTGGTCTGTAAACAGCTCAAAAACAAACACCTGGATCCTCTGCAGCTGCTCGCCAAACTTCACTTTAAAAGTGACTAATTTTAGGTTCATGGCTAACCGCGTGACAAAAAACATCATAAAGTCCACCTACATGAGCAGACTTGATCTTTAAGGCTTTCGTATTGATTCGGCTCTCATTGGTGTATCATGTCTAACCGGTTGTATTGATTATGAAACGTTTGTTATGTAATCAGGCCAACAAACACTGATGGTTTAGCTTGGCTCGGTGGAAGGCCGCTTTCTGCCGGGTTCGTGTTGGATGGCTCTGCTGGTTTCCTCCACGGATATAACGTTGAAATATCACCGCGTGTTTCAGTCTTTTGGAGGTAAATGTGACGGAGAGCTCAGGAGATGTTTGCCAGCCGGTCGTGAAGCTAAACCGGGACATGTTTGCTGGAAACTGGCGCCGATGCTGTCGCTAACCCCGAAACACAAACAACGATCCCTCCGTGTGATCACAACCCACCTCTGCATCATGTTTATCGAGGACGCGCTCATGGTGCTCGGATTCAGTTAGTACGTAGCTACTACAGTTGGTGAGTACTGTCCTGTTGGTCGTTTAAATAGGAAACAAAGCAGAAGCGTTACCAGAGCGGTTCCCGGACATTAGATCGTCCTCCTCTCCGTCCATTTCCCCGACGAAGAAAGCGTTGAGTTTGGGCTTAAGGGCAGAAACCCCCCCTCTGTCCGCTGGAAGAAATAAACTTGAATGAAGTAACGACGGTCTGAGGAAGATTACACCCACAGCTAGCCTCTGCTAGCCCACACAGCCAAAATGGTGACTACCTGCATCATATGAGCATGCGCAAAGGGATCGGTCGCTTCCTAATGACGTAAACTGTCTTTTTGGAAAAAATAAACTTTATTAGTATGACAAATGATTCTAGAAAAAACAATACCAGAACATTGGTGGTGTGAGTATTTTTATTTATACTGTTTTGATTTTAATTGTACTGCCGAAAGTTTTTTTTAGCTTTGAACCGCGTGACATTGTCTGTTAAAAACTCCAGCTGTAGTGTGACGACTTAGACACGCGCCACAATCTACAGAGGATCCACGCGGACCCGGAGCTGTCCTGTTTTTTTCGGCTGGTTTGGTGTGTGTGAGTCCGGTGTGATGGGGGACCGGAGCCGGTTGTGCTCCGTGTGGCTCGGCTCTGAGACCGGGATCCTGAAGGGGGTCAGCCTGTCCCGGAAACAGGCCTTCAACTTCTGCAACACGAGCCACTTGAGCCGAGACCAGGAGGTCCGCGCGCTGTGCTGGGGGGACGCGGCGGAGAGCGAGCTGCTGGTGGGCTGCGTGGACGCCACCGTGAAGACGTTCAGCGTGGAGAAGGGCGCGTTCACCGAGAGCCGGCGCTGCGGGGACCCGGCGGAGGGCTGCTTCTCCGGGCTAGCGGCGCTGGGCGGCGACGCACTGGTCACCTGCGCGGAGAGCGGCGCGCTGCGCGTGTGGAGGGAAGAGGGCGGCGACGAGCCCGTGACACAGGTGGACGCCGGGAAGAACGTGTGCAGGATGCGGCAGAGCCCGGCGAACCCAAACAAGGTGGCCACTGGAGGGAAGGAGAACGGCCTGAAGATCTGGGACCTCCAGAGGCCCGAGCAGCCCGCGTTCAGCGCCAAGAACCTCCGGGACGACTGGCTGGACCTCCGGCGGCCCTACTGGGTCCGGGACATGGCCTTCATCCCGGACTCCGACAAAGTGGTCACCTGCACGGGTTACCATCAGGTGTGTAGCTGTGACTCACCCTCAGCAGGGTGAAAGTTTACTTTGGCCCGGGTTAAAGGTCAAGCTTATCACAAACATCTGGTTTGTGTGATCTGTAAACGTTCTTCTGGTTCAGAATTGGCTCAAAAGTCAGACCAGACTCCGTTCAAAAAGTGTTTCATTTTCTGTTTAGTCTATGACAAAATTAAAGCTTGTGTAAATCCTCGGCTCTCTACATGCATTATATTTTTTTCTCTAAGTCGGCTAACATTTGAGCAATATTAAAGGACAACAACAAACTCTCTGAGTAAAACAAACCAAGGCTAAAATTATGGATGATTTTATTATCAAAGCCATCGTCAGTTTGGCTTCGGACCGAGTCCGCATCGGTTTTCTCTCGATTCAGAAGGTGTTTGATTTAAGGTTTACTTTCTCTTCTCTCATACATTTATGATCTTTAAAATTTCCTCCAGGTTTACAAGTTTAAAGGGATATTCCATAAAAGTATTGAGACAAAAACAACACAACTAAAGTTAAAGTTGTGGATAATTTCTAAAGTGTTTCTAAAAAGAAACAATAATATTGATTTTACTTTGAGGTCTTTCGTATCCTCGGTGTTGATTCCTGATCAGTGGGAAAAATGCTTTTAGGTGTAAAAACAAATAAAATAATAATAATTAAGCAGCAGAAAAAAAAAGTTTAAATCTGTCAATTGATGACCTGCTTTGTTTTTTTTAAATAAAGTTATGTTGAAACACTCTCTCAGGTGCACGTGTTCGACCCCTCGTCTCCTCAGAGGCGTCCTGTCCTGGAGGCGGAGTACGGCGAGTACCCGCTCACCGCTATCTCTCTGACGCCTGACGGCACAGCGGTGGCGGTGGGCAACACCCAGGGTCACATCGCTCTGCTGGACCTGAGGAAGGGCCTGGTGCGTGGCTGTGTCAAGGGGCTGGCGGGCGGCGTGAGGGGGCTTCAGTGCCACGCCTCCCAGCCGTTGGTGGCATCCTGCGGCCTGGACCGCTTCCTGCGTATCCACAGCCTGGAGGACCGCAAACTACAGCACAAAGTCTACCTCAAGTCCCGTCTCAACTGCCTCCTGCTCGCCAGCCAAGACCTGCAGGAGGGAGGGGCAACTGCAGGGGAGGCGGAGTCTGAGGTAAAGGAGGAGGAAGACGAAGGTGATGATGTGTGGGACGCTATGGAGCGGGTGGAGGAGAGGCAGAAGAGGAAAACGACAGAAGACCAAGAGACAACGAAGAAGAGGAAGAAGGCACAGGACTGAGAGGCATTTGAGGTTTTAGAGGACAGTGGGACGTTTAACCGCCGTAGCTCGGGGCTTGTAAGCAGCGTTTATTCAGACTGGAGGCCTTTTATTTTGAAAAGCTTCAGGTACTGGGTAGATGTTTCTCACCTGTGAACAGGTAGAGTCTGCGTCTGCCTGGGGAGACAAATGTATGAGTGCCCTAAAACGTCTTTGTTTTTTATGATTGTAATTATTGAAAATACACGTGTAATTATGATTAAAGGAGTCTCTGCTTCCTGTGTCTGATGAAGAAGTTAAATGTGCTGACGGAGCATCTCAGCTCCTGAGGAAAAACTGCAGCAGAGGAGAAAACAGTGGAAAAACAATCCAGTTGTAATTCTGTGCAGGGCGAATGTAAGAATGTGGGGGGAAAGGAGGGCTTCCAGTTTCTCACTGTTTTGTCCTTCTGACCGGTCAGGGTTCACAGCCTTAATGCTAGCAGATATTACCCAGACCATTTAAATAACAGGAATGAAAACTTCCTGTTTTTCATTTCAATTAAGGAACTCAATTTGAGGTTTTTAAGCGATAAATCGACCCGTCTGACCCACTCAGGGTCAGAGCTGCGTGTGGCTATTAAAGGTTGCGTTCACTGGCAGCAGCTGCAGGTCTGAGCAGCGCACAAACTTGTTTTCAGTGTCTGATGGAAACATGGGATGAACTACAGTACTGTGCAAAAGTCCTGAGTCAGCAGCATTTGTTTGTGATTGGCTGAAACAAACAGCCCCAGTTTACTGTGACATGTAAATAACAACAGACCCTTCCAGCTGTGAACACAGGCCTGTGATTTCACACAGAGCGTGCTCTTAATAAATGAAATGTTCACTCAGCCCATCAGAAACAGACTTTATTTAAAACAAAAAAACAGACATTTTGAAATGTTAGGCCACACCCCTTCGTTCAGGTAAAGTTTTAGTCCCGCCCTGCTTTTTATTTCCACTCATCGGCTCACGTTTGGATGTTTAATTTTTAAATGTTTTTTCAGAGAACAACAAACAGAAAGTGTGTTATTTTTTACATCTGTGCTCGCAGGTGCGCAGACGGTGGGCGGAGCTTGTGAAATCCACAGGTGGACAGGTATGAATTACTGTAGCAAACTGTCTAAAACAGCTGGAGCTCAAAGTGTGATTGGTGAGAACAAACATCAGAGACTCTTCTTCAGTGGTTTTATTGAGCAGTAGCATCACAGCAGTAACGAACGGCGTCATCGGCGTGATTCGACGCGTCCTGCTGTGTCAAACATTCAGTCAGAGACGAGCCTCGCGGCCTCGTTCAGTCACACAAACAGTTAAAAACAGATGAGCAGCAAAAGTCTGAAATCCCTTTTGGACACACTGTTAAACACGGGGCATTAAGGGAGGTTATTTCAACCCTGACGCTTCTTCTTCCTCCATCAGTATCAGCGAAGCTCCGTCACAGCTCGGTAAAAACGTGGAAATGACAGCCAAATATTTACAGTAACAGCTGAAAGGTTTACGTTCAGACGCGTTTTTCTGGTTCCAGTTGTAAATATTACTGTGAAATACAGCAGAAGACACGAGGTAATAATTATTTACATTACCTTCAAACGAGGGAGAACTTTGGATCAATTTAATCCGAATTTGTCCCAGAATGTAAAAACATGTTAGCACATAAACGTCACTATATTAAAGATTCACCTCCAAATATTAAACATTTTATTGTTTAAAGGGTTTCAGAGTGTTAAAAGTATCCTCTCTTGTTCCCCTGTCGTTGTATTTGTTATTACATTAAAGACATTTCAGTCTAACAAACATCTAAAAACCACGATACCAAAACGTGTCTGTTATTACCCTTCACTGTGTGGTGAGGTCACACGTTACTGTTGTTGTATTTCCTTGTTATTACCGAGCTGGGACTTTCAAACAGAGACAGATTAAAACAAAAGGTGGAGGCTGTAGCTCCATCAGCTGTCAGAGCTCAAACAGCACCACCTTCATTCCCAGAGATCCGCTCCAGCTTTCGGTGATTCCTATTTTTCGGCGCAGGAGCGGAAACATCTGGAAACGTTTTCTGGAATGCTGTCTGAATTGTGAGGACATAAAGTGCTGTTGGAAGTTTTTCAGGACGTGTCAGTATCTTCACAGTAAATTAGTAACGATTAACTGTGCCCAGCAGGGGGCGCTAGCTGTAACTACATCCTGAAGTAAAGTCGCGTGACTGAGGACAAACCTCTGTAACATCGATCTCCTCTCATGAGAGTTAAGACGTGATTATTCAGATAAAATATATTTAGATTCAATAATCTGAGGTTAATATGAGAGGAAATATTTTCAGCTGCACTCGTGGTTATCTGAAGGTCGGTGACGGTTCTCCATCAACGGTAATCCAAGAAGGTGTCTGAGGTCTTCCTCCTGCGTGGGCTGGTACTCCTGACAGAATAATTTACACGGTTACCGTCACCGCTCTCCATCCTTTCAACACTACCCCTCCTCCTCTTCCTCCGCCCCTCCTCGGCTGAAGTGTCGCCGGCTCAGTCGCTCCGGGTCATGTGACGCCATGTCGCTGAAGTCCCGGAAGATGTCCTGAAACGTCTCATCATCTCCTGAGGACAACACGACAGTCACAAGTTAACAGGAGACATCATGGGAGGAGGCGCTGGCCTCTCCCCTGCCTCCAAAGAGCCAATCAACAGAGGAAATATAAGCCAATCAGGTTCACAGGTTAACCCCAACCTAACCCAGGTTCAGGTAAAGGTTCGCGACCATTTCAGAAACTGAGCACGCCCAGCAGGACTCTGCATCAAACAGGTTTGAAAAGCTTGTGTTGAGAAAAAGCCGACAAACTTTCAAAGCGTTTTGACGTCTCCGCGACGACAAAAGTTACACTTACAGTTCCTGCTCCGGTCGTTAAGAGTGCGCCTTTAAAATAACCAATCAGATTTCACCAAGCTACAAAACTCTGATAAAGGACATAATCTTTATTTTGATTGTTGGACTGCAGCAGCTCTGCGTGACGCTCGTTCAGCCGTCTGGTTTCACCTTCCTTCTCAGCTGAAGACAAACGTGAGACAAATATTGGAGTCGACTAACCCGCGGCGCCGAAGGCTCCCTCCGAATCCCTCATCTCCTCGTTCATCCGGGCCATCCGGAGCCTGAAACACACGAGCCATGATCACGTTAAAAGAGTTCACAAAGGAATTGAAAGATTCCATTATTGGTCGCGTGTTTCCACAGCGCTCTGAAGACCCGCCTCGACCAATCAGATCAGTCCCTTGACGTACGAGAAACTTTATGATTGGACTCTGGTCACGGTCTGAAACGTGAAACGTCACGTGTCGACTTTTTCATACATCAGCGGGCTTTTCTGATCTTCAGGATGCCGTGGAAACAATGTTCAGGCTGAAAACTCTTCCTGTGACTCACAGAGTGACGATGTCAGCATTGGCCGTTTCCACGGCGATGGCCAGAGGGTCATGACCTCTCTCGTCCACTGCGTACTGATTGGCTCCTCTCTTCAGCAGCAGGCACACCTGTCTGCAACAGCCAATTAAAACCAGCAGC